ATTGCCGGGCCAACCTCAGCCTATAGGTCTGGTAAAGGGCTACATAAAAACGTCATAAATGTGAGCACCATTTACTTAGTGAGCAGTGGTAAGCGGGTTTCGCAACGGCACAAACTCGTGTGATTTTTGTAGCGTCTCGTACATACGCCCTAGAATTTTATCAACCAGGGTGCATATTGACTCGATATTTATGCAGACATCTTACCGGTTCTCTTGTTCAACGTAGCTGCTGGTTGCATCTGTCAAACTGATTCTTCACTACCTATGGCGGAGTGCTAATAGTGTAAACCTGTTCGTTGTGAAATTAGCAATGAATGATGTCGAGATGAGGATAAGTGCTGGTAGGGAGCGAACGTTGGTGGATTACCTGATTTGGGGCTTTTTTCATGAAACCATACGCTGACCTCATTCATTTCGCGCTTCCAAGGAATAATGGGTCTCCCTGATGTCTCGTTTTTAATGTGCGCGGCGCACCGATTGATAGTCTACCACCTTGTAGATGTATTCGTGATATTATTAATCATTTGAATGCGTATTAGCCATGTTGATGGTAGTGTACACACCGATGTGAATATTATCGACCCATCAACATATGTGTGTTCAGACTGCGGGACGCATATCAAACTTACACACAATTTCCCCAGCATGGCTCCTTCTTAACTGTTTAACACCATTCTCGTTGTCCTTCCCGGACCTCTAGCAAAAGGCTTTATCATTCTTACGTGTGACAGCTCCTAGTGCGACTACAATATGATACGGTGTCACGCATTTTTCAGACATGGCGGCAGATCTTTTGAGTTCCTGTTGTAGTCCCACCAGGCGCAGGCTTTAGGCGCTTCGTTCGATTTGTGCTGAGAGGGAGTGGAAGCGAGGAAACGTGGCAAGACGAGTTGGGGTGAACAGTTCGGTTGGTGATGGAAAAGTCGAGACCCAGACGATTAGACGAGGGAAAAGGCCATAGGATTGTTTCGTTCGTTGTACGCGAACGCGATTATTCAAAGTTATGCCGCATCGCGGGGAACCCAGGGCGTGATGCTGCGAGCAAAGTGAATATTATTGATCGGATTTTACCAAGCACACATGCTGCTGGCCCGCCCAGCTCCAGTTTGAACGTATAAGAACGGCCGAAGAAAATTCTCTTGGCAGTCAACGGTGACCGACAGCGGAGCGCCTTTTACATGTAAATCAGCATAGCAGGTCTACCTGCTCTGTGGCATTGCTCCTCCACACGTTAGACGAATGGCTTCATCCCAAGTAGAGAAACTTAACCAAGAAAATGACCCTCGTCCATCATGAAACAGTACAGAAGAGTCTAAAGTCCAGGCACAGTTTCATCCACGCGGTTCAACCCCTGGATGGCAACCTCTAAAACTACAGAATCGCCCAATGGTCAAAGCATCTTCAGGCAAGCCAACATAAGCTTTTGCTCAGACCCCAGGAATCCCTCCCACCCGGAGCCAACGAGGCATGGCCGACGTGGTTATGCCTAAATCGCCTCAGGACAGGGTTTGGTCGATGCAGGGCACTCATGCAGAAATGGGGATACACTGAAGATGGCCCAACCGAATGCGACTGCGGGGAGGACCAGACTATGGGACATCTCCTGAAATGCCCCCTATTACAATAGCCCTGTAGCCCTAGAGACCTTGAGGCTTTCAACCACCGTGCTAAGTCCTGGGTGCTGCAGTGGCTATAGGCCGAGTGTAGTGGAGTGACCCGAGAAGAAGAAGACGAAGAAGAAGAAGAAGAAGAAGAAGAAGAAGAAGAAGCATAGGGGGAACCCAGGGCGTGATGCTATGAGCAAATTGAATACTCTAGATTGGATTTTACCAAGCACACATGCTGTGGGCCCGCCCGGCTCCACTTTGAACGTATAAGAACGGCCGAAGAAAATTATCTTGGCAGTCAACGGTGACCGACGAACGAGCGACATCTACCTGTACAATAGTGTAGGCATAGCAGGGAACACAGCCGTCCGAGCGTGATGCTGCGAGCAAAGAGAATATTATAGATCGGATTTTACCAAGCACACGTACTGTCGGCCCGCCTGTCGGGCCGTGGGTTCCTAGATCATTAAGATGGTCGCGATGCATGTGTTGTGTATTTTATTGCGTTTAAAATGTTTTGGTAGACATTCTGATAGATTACCGCTGCGGGCACAGTTCGCCATCCTTACCTTGATCGATTATCTCTCGTCTCCGTATTCTATTTACGGTTGCGAATTTTATCATGCAGATGGCAGCACTTAACTGGAACGAGCATTCACCACAGTTCTATAAATCTTTATGACCTTTATATGATCTTCATGATCTTATGATATCGAATATGATATCTATATCTTATATCATGACCTATATGATCTTTGTATAATTAAAAGATTTATATGCTCTGATATAACATAATATAGAGAGACCCGTGCCTCAACCGAACAGGTTTTACACCCGCTGCTTATGTTCCAGCCAAATTTGATGAAGCCGATGTTATATTTAACCCATGTAAATGTAGCATTTTATCATCTAAAAGATTTTGCCTTGTATTTTTCGAGTCCATCTTCCCACCAAGCAGGAGCCTTATAAATATCGCAAGAACTATTATTGAGTTCTGGAAACAAGTATAATTCTTTCCTAATACTCAAAGGTTATTCGCGTATATTCTAAATAAATAAATAAATAAATAAATATGATAAAGCTATAAACATCCATATGTCATTTATAGTATTCATCAATTATTTATCTTCTCCCACAACTAAAGAGGGGTAAAAAATATCATTGATCTCGAGTAATTAATTAATCTTAACTATTAAAAAGTAATAAATTAGAAATAATTTTAAGAGAGATTGATAATCTTACTATTGATTACAGATGCAAAATGAATTAATATACTGATTTCAGTGATGTTGTGCTGCGGCGAATCACGGATGTCTGCAGATTAGTAAAACTAAAACAATCGGTGGTTGATTTTGAAATACATGCCAGATTTTTCAGATCGATCAAATTTCGCCTTTATATATTATATGTATAAATTATTTAAATTATTATATATTATATATATATATAGTTGTGTAGCTATAGTTACGGGGCGCCACTATTATGTATTATAGGCATATTAATTAGTCACCTAGTAATGGCTTGCTCCACGAGGGAATTTCTATATTATATCAATATATAGGTATTTTTCAATACTATTTTCATTATTAATCACATTGAATCAAATCAACTTAATATCATTGCAGTATGTCGCTGTATCTACTTTATCAAAAGAGTATTGTTTAGTCCCTAGATACGATCATAGTAAAAGCTCTGGTAATCAGGGTCCCCCCTATGTTATCGATTCGTAATTCTATGGCAGTTCATCCCTGAGGTTAGAGATGGGCCGTAAAGGATTAAGTGTGGGGCGCTTGGTCCCCTGTAAATGGGAATGCTGCGCAGGACTCGATGCCTTATGTTTTCTTTGCAGATCTGAGATTCCTGGGATTTTAGGAAATCAAGTGTAATCGTCCATGACCTAAATGGGCAAGAGCAACAAGGTCCAAGATGTAACGAGGCCGAATCAGAAGTAACAAAATAAAGCAAAACTGTTACGTTGTTACAAACAGCAGCATGCAGCTTAGTTAAAATTCTTTTGTACCATTCTTAATGGTACCAATCATTTATTGAGGGTGTTTTGGCATTGGGTTTGGCCATTGGGGTTCGAAATGCTATGCTAGGGCTACCAAATAAAGTATATATAGAATTTATTCAAAATAATAGTTTCTAAATTATGAATATTGTTGCAGCGCGTAACTTTCATTAGTGCATCAGTTATGTTGCAAACCAGCTGCAGCTCGTGGGCCGTTTTGTGCATTGGATTGCTAACTTTGGCCATGTTTGGTTTTTATACTAACCTTTTATCTGATGCGCTATATCAATTATACCAAGTACAATTAACATTGGAGCCACCCTACGGAAAAAACAACTATTCAGAAGTATAAAGTATTTAAGCAGCCAACACCACACAACACCACAACAGCCACAGACATCAACACAACACACACACACAATCCACACACACACACACACACACACACACACCACACCACACTCACTAACACACACCACACACCACACACAACACACCCAAACACACAAACACACACACACACAGCCACACACACACACACACCCTGGTAGGGTCGTTGGGTAGAACCGGTCCAGGCACAGACACTACGTTGGGTTCTTGGGCCTGACAGGCTAAGGCTGATGTCAGCTGATCTCTAAATGTCATTGGGATCGGATGGCTTTTGCAAAGAATTCAATACCTGAGTGAAACTGGCTGATTTTTCGTGAATGGTTTAACTTGGCCATACTATTTTTCTTTTACCGAACAAGGAAAAACACGCAAAATTTTATATTCGGGTGTTCACAATGGTACCTACAGCTGTTAAGAATTCGCTAAATACACTGACATGGGTTAGGGAGATACATATAGGTACGTGATGTGTAAGGTCAGATTCTGCCGCGAAGCGAATGGCAGGTCTAGAAATCCGCAGGTATAGTATGAGGTGAGGTAGCAGCAGCAGCAAAGAAAGACAAGTATATGGCAAAACACATAGAAATAATGTTTGATTGCCTTATTAAAAAAACGATATATCTGTCTTATGCAAATGTTGCAGAAATACGCTCACCTATGATATAATTCCTATTAGTGACATCATGCCATTGCAATAAGCCTTCTTTACACGAGTGTCACCATGCGCCATGTCCGCTGGAACAGTGTATCAGTTTATATGAACATTTTCTAATATATTATAATATATTATTAATATATATATATATATCTAATATTATAATAAAATATTATCAGACAACAAATCGTTATAGTAGTTTAGCAGTTATTAGTATTTCATATTACAATATTACAAAATTGTAGATTGTAATGGTAAATAGAAATGCCCTTATATTATGATATGAAAGCATCCTGAAAGAAAAACAACATAATTAAGAACATAAAGTAATCCTCACCTTATATACCGTGTCATTTTATTTGCAAGAGCTCGACTAATGCAGAAACCAGCGCCTCCCGTGGCAAAATTAAATCTAAGCCGTGGCTGTAAAATATAAAAAACGACATCTAATGAACTTCACTATAACGTTATCCCATCCAAACTACATACGAACATTGAGAACCCCGTGATAATTTTCTACATTTGTACGATACATCTCCTGCTCTGTTCAGAACAATATACTCATGTAACAGAAAATGCTAATATAAACGATTTTTTTCTCGTATTTAACACAAGCACAACCAAGCAGAAAAATATGCAAAAATCCAGTTGTATTCATTGCAACTGAGTTCGTTCCAATTAAAATTTATCGGAGGTTTCTGGAGCTATTACAGCGAAGCCACGTCCCTGCTATGGTATGTATGACAGTTAGGCGTATACTGTATTGCATAGCTATTTAGAGAGCTAGATGTTAGAGCTACGTCTACCATAATGGGAGTCCAAGAAATACATAACCATCATACTCACTGCAGTAACAGGTGTCCTGATTTCAAATTCGTGCGGGATGCTAGTTTTCCCAAAGTAATAGTCCTTATTCCAGCTTTTCTTGCTGAGAAACTTTACTAACTGGGGCACGTTCACGTAGTTGTCATCATCAAAGTGACAGAACCACCTGTTTGGTTGAACATATCACGGTGCAGAAATATAATGGACGCATTGTTGGACAATAACGTATATAATACAATATTATGCAAACGTAGACGATTTCTTGAGCTAAGCTTGCTTTGCAAAGATTGACTATGATAATTTGTTTAGCTGTATGTAATTGGATTTAGCAATCAAATAAATCCCAACCAATCGTAAATATTAACTAAACAATAAAATCAAATCTGCTAAATATATAATAATATCATTAGATTGATACAATTCTATAGATTTAGTAGAATTAGTAGTAGAATTAGATTCAATTCTTACATACTTTTTGCTAGTGTTCAGAAAGAAATCAAACTCTGCTGACATCTTGCAGCAAAGGTCAATCCTGTTATGCGTATCTGGACATCCTGTGTTGACCATGTGACCGCCTGCAAAAATAATTAATTTTACTTTAATGCACCAGCTTAAACGCAAAACGTAAAAGCCCTTGAAGAATGGCGAATTACACGCGAATAAACGTGTAACACGAAAATCGGAATTAAGGAATAAAATGAGATGTTGAAACATTCTAAGCGGAGTTGTTACCCGCCTCCGTCCCTCACTCTGTTCATCGCCCTCTATCTGCCAGCAGCTATATAGGGCTCATCTCTCGCAAAGTTATTACGTCACAATATTCCATTATTGACAAGACGCGCTTACGTACAATTTCCCTCACGCCATGTAAATTACTATTTATGTTAAATCATCAAGTTATCTTAAATTCCTTAGACACATTTATTCTTTGAATAATACTTTCTTATAATTTCCAACAACGTGTACTATTGCACTACATTGGTACCAAAACCGATGTTAGTAGCAATAAAAACGCGCAGATATGAACTAATTAAAGGACTAAATAGAAATCCCGACGACTAGTCCAAGGCGGTAATTGGGCGTGGAACTAACGTCTTACAATACATCACCGATACTCAGTAACCAGCGTTCGACAGGCCCCCGAAGTCCGCCCGTACGTGGCACAAAACGAAGTAATCAAGCGCGTGTTTTAAGCGGATGGAAGGGTTTTTCATCACACGCTGTTCTTAAAAGATCATGTCACTCGCGGTGGGATTGCCAATACTAAATCATACACACGCACGCACGCGCACGCATGCACGCACGCACGCACGCACACACGCACGCACACACGCACGCACGCACGCACACACACACACACACACATACACACACACACACACACACACACGACTTCAATCACAACAGAAACGTAATTTGTACGCCATCCGCCTGATCTTTCGACTGTAGCAATTTACCTACCTATTTATAAGAAGGAAATACGTATACTAGTGCTACGGGGCGCCATGCAGGACAGGGCTCAATTCTGTCGAACCGGTTCCACAAAACTCAATTTTGTAAACACAAAACT